TGGGAATAAATAGTTGTTATTACTGTTGCAGGAGGGAGTAAGCAAGTTCCCAAGTACAGCTGGTGGTAACATTCCATGGAAGGAAATTCTGGACCTTGGTTCTTCAGCGTTTCTTAACTGCCGAACTTCAGTGGACCTAAAGGATAAATGGAGAAACATGTGTAAGGGAAGCCCGAAGCCCAAATGAAATGTTCTCATACTGGTTAGTTTGCTGATCAAGTTCCATTTTCTTGTTTTGGTTTGCCTCTAGAAGCTCATTTTCTGAGGGGAGAGGTGGTATATTTTGCAGGTGGGGGCATTGTCCAAACAGCTGGGAGGTGTTGAAGATGTCAATTAGTTTAGTTGGTAAACTCCTTTTGATGATTGCATTAAAGCATCAAGAATCAAATCTCATCCTAAGCAGGAAAAAGAGGCTTTTTTTTTTTTTTTTCCTTTTGGTGTAACACAGGTGAAAGCCAACGTTTTTGATATATATAAAAAACATTGTAAATATAATCAGCAATCTTCAGTCAAAAAAATATATAATCAGCAATGAGCTTTCTGTGTTCATCAAAGTGCTGATTTCCGGTTATGCTTTTAGTTTTTGGTCACTGGTTTCTCGGGTATACGGTTTATAGAGTTTTTGGCAAACAATGTTTTCTTACAGTAATAGACACATGACATCTTGGATTCATGCACGTCTCTTCTCATTGAGTAAAAAGAGAGCAATTTCTAATTATTGTTACATAAGATTGTAAGATTTGGTGATAAGAAAACATTATGTACGAATCATATTCTGTGTATATGCTGACTTGATAGTTGATGCAATATTACCAACATAATAAAAAGAAAAGCCAAAACTGAACCAGGAAAATGGGATTGATCTCAGATTTTGCAATTTTTGTCACCTTGTTAAGTTGATCGACGTTAAATGTTCATTTATAGAAGTGCCCGAATCATATCACCTGGAGAGCGGATAAATTTATGACGTGCATATAACATGGCATTATCATCATGACATATATGAGCATGAGAACTCTCAATTCAGCATGTGATATGATTTTGAGATCTTAGGCAGCTCCCATTCTGAGAAATGTTATAATTTACCTGGAGAGAGAGATGGGCATGGCAAAAAGGTCAAGAGAGTCCCGGCAATCAGGTCATGGATGGCAGGAAAACATGTGAAATGGGTCTCGTGAAAGTGAAAAATGTTTTGAGGTGAAACTCAACTCTCTGTAGATCAATGAAGAAGCGCTCCTGCTGTGGGAATCCGAAGGAGATACTACTTAGAACATACATAAGTCCATAAATTCTAGTCACCACCACAACACCTGTAAATGCACCCCAACACCATGTTTCTTTCATCTTCTTCTTGCCCAAATCAATACCAGAGGTTTCTGTTAGTGTAGTGACGGTGCTGGTGTAGCGAAACCTTCCTTCAGTACCACGAGCTTCTTGTCGAGTTCACCTGCAATGCCCCGAGGGAAGGCCTCGCGGTAGACACTTCGATACTTAAGTCAGCAATAGTGGAAACGCCCTCCAATAAGAATCTTTAAAGAGTGTTTCTTCTAGTTTTTTATCATACCTTCTTTTAGCCGTGCTGGGTGTATTTATATGGTTTGGCTGGGCATCCACGTGGCTTGTTTGACCATCATTGTCGTGACATGATGTGTCTGACGGGGCAAGCGTTTTTGGTGGACGTAACGTGTCTTGACGGAACAACCGCATTAAATGAGCGTGGTGCATTCTGACGGAGTGGATCTTCCATGAGCGAGGAGTGGATGTGGCATGGCTTAAAGGAGCAACTACATTAAATGAGTGCGGTGTATTCAGACGGAGGGTTAAGTGGGAACGAGTGATCTGGTGTGAGTGTCCTCATCGTAATCTCCGTTTAACTGCGGTGCTGTAGATAGAGCCCTGAGCTTTGCTCTGGCCAAGTTTAGGGGCTCGGTATTGGAGTCAGAGCTTTGAGTTCTGCTCTAGTTTAGCCTAGGGGAGTCGAGTTCCTACCCTTACAGTTTCTTTGACCAGTTTTCCTTCTGGTCACAGGATTGCCGCACCAAGCTAAAGGGCATGAAACTGAACTTCGAATATAGAATGATGGTTTAGGGTAACTGGAAAGTACCCAATAGAATCCCTCTGACACTCTCTTAGGGTTGATTGTTTAAATAACTGATGGTAAATATTTAATCACTGAGTTGTTTATAATCCAAACACTTTTATTTGTTCAATTACTAACCAAGCAAATCGAAATAGAGCTGTCCTGATTAGTAAGAGACTTTGTTATCGTCTTGTTGACTAAAATTTGATTCTTAAGTGAGATTGTGATCACGAGGTGGTCCTCGGCAAAATTTTCAATGCTAATACAAAATGATCTGTTTGCCATTAAGCAGACGTAATACTAGAAGTCATAGGATATCGTTTGGTCCTTTGAGCATAAACCATTTTATATTTTAGAGAATCATATTAAGAAAAACAGAGAGATCTACAGATAGAAGACATGCATACATACATGGATACATTAGTGCCTCCATATGCCCATAATTTGCACGGTTTCCAAACATACAGGCATTTGAAATCATCCGAGCAATACCCACTAACCGTCACATGGGGCTTCAAAGCTTAATTTTTCTGAAACGTGAAAGCCTTTAAACCAAATCTGCAGTCTCACTTTCTACATAATCCCACGCCATGCTGCTCTTTTCACTGCACTCGGTCTCTCCTCAGCTCCCACGCTCACTTCTTCCCCGTGGAAACCTTTAGAAGATCTCCGTCAAAGCCTTGGAAGAAAGGTCCAATCAGAGGCAAAGGCGGTCCTCTGAATGCCTCCTGCCAATACCGGGGAGTGCCGCAAAGGACTTGGGAAAAATGGGTGGCAGAAATTAGGGAACCCGAGAAAAGAACCAGACTCTGGCTTGGTTCTTTTGCTACTGCAGAGGAAGCTGCCATGGCTTATGATGAGGCTGCAAGGAGACTCTATGGACCTGATGCTTACCTCAATCTCCCCTACCTTCAACCCAACTCAAATTCTCATCCTCCAAACAGATTCAAATGGATTCCTTCAAAGAACTTCATCTCCATATTTCCTTCTTGTGGCCTGCTCAATATCAATGCCCAACCTAGTGTTCATGTTATCTATTAGAGGCTTGAAGAACTCAAGAAGAATAAAGGGGCTCTGAACAAATCTTCTTCTTCTTCTAGTTCATCTTCATGTGAATCAGAAACTGATACTCAGATCATAAGCAAGAAGAGCAAGAGCCAGAGCCAAATAGAAAATCTGACAACCAAGGAGAAAGATGTAGATATTTCGTCAACAGAGGAAATGCTGCAGACTGAGGAACCACAGATTGATCTAAATGAGTTTCTTCAGCAGCTTGGAATAGCGAGAGAGGAAAAGCCCTCACAAACAGAAAGAATAGGTGAAATTCCTACAGAGAATTTACCAGAGTCAGTGATGGATTCTAACTCGAGATTTTGAAGAAATTGCAGCCTTCGCAGAGAAGAGTTTCAACTGGGATGCTGTGATACAACTGAATGGAATTGGAGCAGATCAACAAGGAGCCAATCCCAGCTTCCATGTTCATGATATTCAAGAGGAGCTAACCTGGCCTACATCCATTGGGAACTTCTAAAATTAGTAATAAATAGATCTCTTGATCTTTAGTTAAGTTAGGTACTATGATGTTTAGCAGTAGTGCAGGTTGCATTGCC